GACTCAGCAACCAGAAACCTGAATTTAATGCCAGAGATGAGAAGACTGAAGTCTAAGGAGGTCAAACAACTGGCTCAATGCCCTATAGATTTTGAACAGGAGCCAAATCTGCAAATAGGATTTTGACATACACAGACGCCAGGGAACCAGGAAAATTCCACTAGGAATTTTCTCTCCTGACCGCAGGATCTGAGGGCTCCCTTCCTCACTCCTGGTGTGTACTGGCTTTACCTTGCCAACATGGAGCCCACTCCTTGGGTTGGGGTCTGTGCCCTCAAAGCTGGAGCTGCTCCAGCCACTGACTACCTTCCTCCCTCAGATGACTGATCTCTTTCTCTGCAGCTCCCCAAAACACAACAGGGAATGCAACTATGACAAAAGATGCACAAAATGAAAGGGTGCTCTTGAGGAACACCAAGAGGGGGAGGGGGGTCCCAGGGATTTAGTTTTGCTAAGACTAAGCCCTGACATGACCAGATCTAAATATACATGCAAGTACACACATGCATGACCTCCTGCCTTAACCTGCATTGTGACAGGAGGCTGCATAGCCTTGCCCAGCAAGACTGAAATAGTAAAAATTTGTAAATGTTCTCCCAACCCAGTGATCATCAGAACAGGCATAAAATATTTAAATTCACTTGATTACAAATCTTTCCTCTCCCAGGAATAAATCCTGGGACCTAAGCCACCTGTGCATCATCTCTGACTCTACACCACCAGCAGTGAAGCACCACCTTCATTTCTCATTCTCATCCAGTTCTTAGTCTCTGGTTCTCAGCCTCGGCTACACTTTGGAATCACCTGGGGAGCTTTTCCCATTCCCAATGCCCAGGTCTCATCTGGACCCATTAATTAAGCCAGAATCTCTGGGGTGGAACCCAGGCGGCAGCGTTTTTCAATCTCCCCAGGTGATTCCCACATGCAGAACCACAGTACAAGCTGCAGACCAATGTGCTGATGATGCCAGGAGAGGAATGAAGGTTGAGAGTCCCTTATAAGGTATGGGAGTTGCACAAAGTGGCCCAGGGAGCAAAAGGGAACTGGCCCGAGGTGCTCACTTCCTCCCCACCCCCAATCCTTGGCAGAGCTGAGGGAAGAAATAAAGGGCCGATGAGAGCTACAATAATGCACTGCAAAGATGATGAGGACAGTCACATGCTTCTGCCCTGCTAATGATTGCATCTTCTTAGGGCTCAAGCACCTTCTTAGCAGCAGTCATTCAGCCACATTCACTGCAGACTCGGAGGGGGAGGGCAACGAGTGAACGGAACGGGCTGCTCAGTGAGATGGAACGCAAGCCTTTTGTATGGGGATGCTAGATGCGGTGGCTAATTTCTTAAATCTCATCGCAATTCGGTTCACGGGAGACTCCTGGAATGTCTTTATCCATCACAGATGGTTTAATAAGATGATAAATTAACATTGTTATCAATAGAGGTGCGGCTGAAATGGTTAAAGAGCAATGTCTTCTTTTTGGGGCTCTAAAAAGAAAGCCCCCAAAGTCCATAAAGAAAACAAATGGTAAACAAAACCTCCTATCTTTTGACAGATTCCAGGAGGAGTATCATTCACAATCCATTCTGTGGAGAAAGGGAGAAATTCATCTCATCTGACTTTGTATAGGACAACAGCCCACACCATAATGAGGCCGTCCCAGGGCTGTGAAATTGGGCTGAATAGCTGGAGAGTGCAGCAGCCTGTTCCCTGGGCATGTTTATTACAGTCTTTTGTATGCACCAACCCTGCCAGCCTGGGTTTGCTTCTAAACCAGGGGAGGGGAGAAAGAAACCAACAAATTTGTTGCTATGAAACTTCCCAAATGGGGGACTGCATAATAACATTTGGAATCAAATGCCCTTGCTCCAAGCTGTTCTTGTCTGGGTCCACCCCTGTCTTATATTGAACAAGCTCCTGAGTCAGCCAATCACCAGCAGTATATGGGTGGCCTCGGCCCCCTGCCCAGGCCCCTCCCAGGCCTAGAGAAGTCAGGGGGTAAAGAGGGCCCCAGGGCCATTCCCAAGCCAACTTGGAGGTCCTGAGCCAATTGTCCCAATCCCCCTATGAAATGCATCTGAATCAAGCAAAGAAGTGTGACTTCTACCTGGGGGCCAATGATGGGGCTCCCTGAGGTCAATCATAGGCCCTGGAGCTGGGGCTAAGGAAGCATTTCTTAAACCACATGGCCCTGGAAAGGCAAGGAGGAAGGCTCCTGAGGTAGGAGTTATGGAAGAGGGGTGGGGGTGTAGACCAAGACACCCCCGAGAGAAGGTCTCGGGGATACACATTCCCCTGCCAGGCAGTGTTTGAACTTCTCCTAAAGCTAGTTCTCACCAAGATCTTAGGGTTTCTTTTTGGCAGGAAGCATCCCTTAGGGGAACTGAGGATTCAAAGTTCCCACATCCCCTTAGGTGACACCAGGAATGGAAAGAGTAGAGAGGAAAGAACCGGAACTTTCAGGAGATATCTTTCTTTACCAGTGAGGTGGCTAGATCTTCCAGGTCACATTTTTGCTTGTTAATCAGAGAGCAGATTTTTTTCTTTTCTTTTTTTTTTTGGTACCGGGGATCGAACTCGGGACCTTGCGCTTTCGAGGCAGACGCCAGACCACTGAGCTAAATCCCCGGCCCAAGCAGATTTTTTCTTACCAATCATGAACCAAGCTATGCTTCTCCTCATGAATTAAAAGGCAAGATCCTTGAAACACTGTCTTTCCCCACCAATCAGGTGGTAGGTTCCTTGAAACACTGTCTTGCTTCTCTAATCAAGAGGCTGAGAGCCCCACTCTTCCCTTCCACATTTCCTCACCAAGATATGCTTGTGTCTCCTTGTGCAGAACCCATCCTTAGGTTTTCCTCTTCTGTGAGTTCTTCTCCCAGGGTTCCCACCAAGTGAAGAGGCAACTGCTAGCCAGGACTGAAAAGGAAGATGGCCACCTAGGCTGGCCCCAACATTTGAAGTCAAAGAATGGGAACATTCCCTCATCTGCTTGCATGTGTCCCCCAGAAACCACCAAAGGAAGCTGAGCTTTTACATGCCTTTCAACAAAAGTGGCAACCCTGGAGAATGACTGGAGGTTGCCAGGAACTTGTGGCTTCCTAACATCTCTCACTCTGAGTAATGTGCAGCACAGGGCCCCATCTCTGTCCTCAGCAACAGAGGGAAAAGGGAGGTGAGCAAGGGCTTGCTCCTTCTGCCTCTCTCAGGGACACACATTTCTGCCCTAACCACAGACCTGGGAAGAACGGGAAATGACTAGTGCCCTTCCTCACAGAGCTCAGACCTTCTAACCTCAGGGCACAGGTCTGCCCATCTAAGCAGCTGATGTAGGCTGAAATTTCTTGGCCAAATCTCCAGTTAATCTATGTGTAAGCCAGTTGTTTACAAGACCCTGGTTTCAATTTCTTCTATAAGAGAGACAATAAACACTTAGGGCACAGGCAAAGGAGCTGGATACTTTCCAATTATGTTCCCTGCAAACTCCAAGCCATCTCTCCCTGCTCACATCTTCCTGACAGCACAGACCTCTCTTGGGTCCCTTTGCCTGGGTCACCTTCTCATTCTCAAAGTCTCTGGGGGGCTGTCCCTTGGAACAGTTGTCTTTCCGAAGTGTAAACAGCCCAGCTACCTTTATGCTCAAATTTCTATTGGTAACCACCAGAGACGGCCATAAGCCCACAGACCTAGAGGGAGAGTTGCTTGCATCCTGGACTTACCCTACTCATCTCTGTGCACTGGGAACTGGTAAGACCTCTCCCAAAGGAGACAGACTGGAAGCTGGTGGGTTTGGTTTGGTTTGGTCTGTCTGCTTGAGAAAAGGGTTCTGCACAAGCAGAGGTAGCTTCATGCTCAAAAGGGCATATACTTGGCCGAAGCTCTTCAGTCACTGCTTTGAAAATCTTCATCATTTTTTATTAAGAAGCTCTGTATTTCCATTTTGCACTGGACCCTGCAAATGATGTCGTCAGTTCAGCACACAAGTGCCTAACATCTAGTGGGTTTCCTGTTGTGAAGATGATACTTCTGCTTCACTCAAAGACTGAGTAGTGGCCCAGAAGGGTTCCTCGACAGCAGCTCATCATCTGGGATTAGGTCTGCCATGGCTTGGGACCCTCCTGTTGTGCTAAGGTGTTGCATAGCGGCCCTCCGGGGTAAACATCTTGGAAAGTCATGCTCATGACAGGCCCTGGCCTCAGACTCCAAGTTTTAGAGCAGAAGAGCCCTGGTTCCTGGAATCCCAAAAGCTAATGTGGGGCAGGGGGCCTACTTCTCACCCTCTACCATCACTCAATTCCCTGGCATTTCATCAGCTCCTCTGAGTCATCTGACCATCCCTTCATTTTTATTAGTGGGAGAAAAACAAATAGCAGAAAGTTAAAACATTAGTGCTTGCTTCATTGAACAAAAATAGAGTCTCCCGTCTCCTTTTAATTTTTTTTTTTTTTTTGTCCTGAGAAGTAAAGCTATTTGCAGATGGATTAAATGTTCCTTCTGAGACCCCGATCCTGAAACTGGCAACCTCGCTGTGACTGTGTGTGTCTGTGTGTGTGTAGCAAGGGGCGGGAGTGGCCTGCACACATCCAAAGAAGTACGTCTGCGTGGGTTTGGGAAAAGAGGGTCTTTTGTCCCAACAGTAAGCCTGGCGAAAATGACTCGAGTCCCTGTGGTATGCAGCACACCTGTGCAGAGGGGGAGAACCAGGGGGAGCCAGCAGCAAGCCCCGAGTAGGGGATCACACCTTCTCCTTTCTTCTCCTTTAAGCCATGTCTCCATCACCACTTTGTTTTGGCTTACACCTCTGAATACCAGGGAGGGGGCGTGTGTGTGTGTGTGTGTGTGTGTGTGTGTGTGTGTGTGTGTGTGTGTGTGTGTGTGTGTGTGTGTGTGACCTCAGTCTATACTGCTTTGTATGGGAACTAGAAAAAACAGAAAAGGAGAAGGAGAGGAAAGACTGGTGTCCCCAAGGTCCCCCTGCCCCTTGTCCCCAGAGTGCATCCTACCTTTGCAGGCCTTCCGGTGGGTGATGGGCTTGCCCATGTCTCGGTAGAAACCCTCCTTGCAGTAATGGCAGTGGCGACCAGCTGTGTTGTGGCGGCAGTTGAGGCAGACACCCCCGCTCTTGCGACCCGACAGCTTGTAGAGTTCCATGTTGAAGCGACAGCGCCGGGCATGCAGGTTGCAGTTACAGGCTGCAGGGAAGACAGGAAGAGAGCATCAGCAGTGGGCGTGCCAGAGGATGGGCACCTGGGGGGGCTTAGCTCCCCATTTCATCTCCACTGCTGGACCCAGGGAGGCAGCCTTGTGCTCTAGGAGCTTTTCCTTGGCTCCCCTGGTTTGTACCCATAACCAGATTGGACACCTTATAGTAAGTACCATGGCTGAGAGTCTTCCCAAATTCTTATGTTGGAAGTGCAACCCCCAGCACCTCAGAATTTCACTGTATTTGAAGACACATTTTTGTTTATTTGGTTTTGTTTGGTACTAGGAGTTGGTACAAGGCCTAAATGCATGCTAGGCAAGTGCACTACCACTGAATTGCATCCCTAGTGTTTTATTTTGAGATGGAGTCTTGATAAGCTGCCTAGGCTGGCTTGAACTTGAGATCTTCCTGTCTCTGCTACTACTTCCTGAGTAGCTGGGATTACAGGCATGCACCATCATGTGCAGTTTGAAGACAGGAACTTTAAAGAGGTGGCTGAGCTATAACAAGGCCTTCAAGTTGGGTCCTACTCCAAGGCATCCCTATAAGAAGAGGAAATCTGGATACAAAGACTCCACAGATGCATTCAAGCAGAAAAAAGATCTGATAGGATCCTGGTGAGAAGGCAGCCACCTGCAAGCCAGACAGAGAGGCCTCAGGAGAAACCAACCCTGCCAACACCTTGATCTTAGATCTGCAGCCTCCAGATCTGGGAGAAATGCACTGAAGCCTGCAGACCCAGCACAGTCACATATGGCTTGTGAGACATTCACCTTGAGGCTGACCTTGAACTCTCCATCCTACTGCTTCAGTCTCCCAAGTGGTGGGATTACAGGTACGTGCCACCACTTCCAGTTCATTCTTAGTGATTTTCAAAGGTGCCCTAGTACTCTATTATGTGGATATATATGTCATGGGTTCCTTGCAGTATGAAGATACACTTAGAAGTAGGACCTCCCAGGGCTGGGTAGCTAGGCTGGCTCCAGTTTGTCATTACTATAAACAACACAATGGTAACCACCTTTGAACACAATAGTGATCACCTTGAACTACCTTTGAACATGCACATTTGTATGCTTCTCTGATTACTATTGTACAGAACATTTCTCAAGGCAGAATTTGGAGTTAAATCTTGGATCTGCATGTTTTTAACTTTGAATCCAAAATTGCCCTCCAGGAAGGCTGTACTGGCTTCACCTCTCACCAGCAGGATGTGACAGCTCTTATTTTGCCACATCCTTGAAAAGAATAACAATGCGCATTTGGTATCAGCATTCTTATTTTTTTAATCTTTGCCAGTTCGTCTGGGGGAAAAGACTCGCACATGATTTTAATTTGCATATCTTTGATTACCAGGGAAGTTGGGCATTTCTCCATGAGTTTTTCTATTTATATTTCTTTTTCTGTGCATTGCCTGTTCATACCATTTGCCCAGTTTTCAAATAAGGTGGATTTGTTTTTCTTTTAATGTTTCCTAGTGCTCTTCTCTATGTATGACTGGATTAAAAGACATCTGCTTTCTTTACAAGTTGAAAATATTTTTACCAGTTTCTTATTCATAAGTTATTTTTATTTGTGATTTTTTAAAATTGCCTGTTTAATTTTCCTCTCTGATGTTACAAGTTTCTTTAAATGCTCTTTTTCCCAAAATCATTTCTCCATTAGTCACCCAAGAGAAGTACTCAGAGAAGTGAAATGGCCAGCAAGCCCAGCACCAAGAAGCCAGTGAATGGAGGACCAGGACAGCAAATCGGTCTTCCAGCTCCTGGTCCACTGCCCCTGAGGAAAGGACCTGAATCACTGGAAGTAACAGCTAGGCCTGGATCACAGCCCAGCATATGGAACATTCCAAAAGCAAAGAAATCTCAGGGGCTGGCGCAACTACCCAGGGCCAGGGATCTGAAAGGATCACCCAGATCCTCTTGGCCACTCTTGTACTAAGAAAAGCCTTGGAGTGGCTTCTTGCAGTCCTTTTTGGAGGTAGATTTCATCCCACATCCTCCTCTGTAAAAGGAGTGTCCAGTTTTCCAGAACCTGAACAGGCCTCTGAACCCCTTATGGAAGCTCAATATTCCCCTTCCCCACACCAAGGAGAAGTTGAGGCTGGAATCGCTCTTTCATGCACACCTCACACCAACAAAAGGTTCTTCCCAAACAACTGGTCACACACGCACAAAACTCTGAGGCCAAACATCAAAAAGCACTCCCCCCCTCAGCTGTCAGGGGACATCAAGTGACAACTGCCCATGCTCAGACTTCTGCAAAGTATTTTATGGCTTGTTTTCTTTTCTCTTTGTTTTATTTTCTCTATACAAATGGAAAAATGCACAAGGCAAAGCAGCTCACATCTGGATCCTTTGGCTCCACACAGAGGTGTCACCCAACTCCCTGCCTGTCCTGTGCCCCTGCCTCCCTGCCTCCGAGAGACACCTTAATCCCTCGTGCCTTCCTGTTTATCTCCTGCTTCTCTCAGAGGCAAAAATATTGGGTATTAGTTTCATTATCAGATTTCAAGACGGGAAGGAAAGGGCAGCTTTGTGAGAACAGAGGTCAGCCTGGGAGAGGAGGGGGCAGGGAAGCAGAAACTCCTAAGGGATAGGCATGGCCAAGACAGGGACTCCTGCCCGTCCAGCACAGCTCTGCCTTTTACCTAGGGGTCCCCCAGCCATCCAGAGAGATCTCTGAGCTCCCCAGTAGCTATCATGTAGAGATTACTAAGGATGCATCACATGTGACTGCATCACAGACCCAGGCATCAGGAAGAGCAAAGGGAGGAGGAGGAGGGGCTCCCCAACACTGCCCTACAACCGAACCCCCAACAGGGACAAGGGACCAAGAGATGTGCTCCTATTTTCCTTCCCCATTGGCAGGTCCTCAAAGTCCTACTGTAACTCATACCTGTGGCCATTCCTCAGCTCCCAGCATTCCTTAAGACTTTCTCAATTCCCCACCTACATAGAATTGCCCAGCCCCTCTCCACCCCCCGGGTCACTGGCATTCAACACATTTACAGTGCTCTAGCTGCACACCAGCCTCTTCATGGGTTGTGCAGGATACAGAGATGCAAAATGCACTCATTTGTCCAGGGGCTCCTCACCTAACAGTGCCAGGGGGCAGATGAGCACTCACATCAGTACACACAAGTGGGACAAACACTCTCATCAACTGTGTAGGTTCACTGAAGACAGGAATAGTGCTTGTTCTCATACCCATCAGCCCACGGCAAGCCTCAATATACTTTTTTGTTGTACAAATCAGAGAGAGACCAAGACTCTTCAAGAGAGAAGATGGATAGAATGATGGGACAGGATAAGTGGGTAAAAGGACAGATGGAGGACAGAATGAGTGAGTGGATGGGTGGGTGAGGTGGAAGAATAGAGAGGATAGATGAATGAATGGATAGATGGGTGGATAAACAGGTAGGAAGGTAAGGAGGTAAATAGGTAGGACAGATAAAGGATTTACTGCCTGGACCACACCCTGACAAGGCATAGCCTTGTGACATTTACTTTACTGCTGCTTGTAACTACTTTAAAATCATCTTGCTGCTTTAACTTATCAATTCAATTTCTGTCCGCTCAAGTAGACTCCAGTGCTTTAGGGAGAAAAATTCACATTTAAGTGCCATGGGCTCCTCCCAGGAATCTAAAAAGGGCCCTGCATACAGAGCCTAAGTCTGCCTGCATTGGCTTGGTGAGTTTATCAAAACACAAACTAACCCCTAATCCCACCAGTATGATTCTAGGCCCAGAAAACATCCACTAGACACTGTGGAGCCATATCCTGACCCTGCCTCTCAGGAACTCTAGCCCTGACTCTCCAAGTTCTTGTAGCTCAAGGGCTCTACCATTGAAACAGGAAGGCCCTCTGGTGACAGTCCCCACCAAGGGCCTGGTCTCAGCCACAAGGCCCTTTCTCTACCCAGCTAGCACACAGGATTAGTCTCCCCTCCCTTCCAGAGCAATTCTCTTGATAAAGTAATCCCATATTATTTGTGCTGTGTAACAGAGAATTTTGGATTTACATGTCTGCAGATGAACTGACCAAAATAACCAATCCACAGAAGTACCACCAACCCCAGGCCAGGAGCTTGGTATGGAAGAAATCAGTCCCTAACCCTGGGCTTCTTACGTGCAGGTTACACATCCCGCTCAGATCTGTCAGGACTGTAGGGACATTCTGACCTGTCCAGGCCACATGGCCAGGCGGGGCACTGGAAGGGCCAGGGCCAGGGGCTATTTCTCCCACTGGTTCCTTTGCTAATTATGTCTGGGGCTGCTGGTGAGGACCAGGAAACCTACTCTGGTGTAAGTTTAGGAGACCTGGCAGCAAGCAAGACAGAGCCCCATCCTTGGGTACTTCTGATCTCAGAGGGGTGACAGATCTGTGAAGATCTGCAATTTCCAACTGTGAGCAGTGCTGTCAGGACTGACAGCCAGGAAGGCCATTCTACTGGGCCTTCTGGGACAAGGAAGAGGGGATAGGGCCTGAGAAGATAGTCAGAGTACAAGACAGGATATTCTTCCAGGGCTGCTCCAGCTGCACCTGTGTGGGGGCCACCAAACACACTTCCGAAAGGCTCCCAGGACACCTCCCATGCAGCCAGGCTGCAGACCAGCGTAGACCAAATCGGAGTAGAACCCTCTTGGAATAAAACCCACTGTGTGGAGAGAGGGCCCTGTAGGGAAGTAAAGGGAGAGCTTCCAGTGGTGAGTCTGCCAGGAGGTAGAAATCAGAGGTGTGGATTTGTAAGAAACTTCTCCTTCAACAATTGGTTCAAAGATATAAAAATATTTGGGAGCTATTTTTAAGAGTTTCAGGTCACTTATGTTCCCCTTTATTTAAGACTCTGCTACTCTACTGAGTATGCTATTTATTTAGCCTCTTGTTTATAAATTGTAAGTATTCACCCCTGGTAAGTATCTTTCTGACTCCAGTTTTCAGCAGCTCCTGAAATGGCCTGGGGGAGGCAAACTCGGCTCCCACCCA